TTATTTATTTATTTTTATTAATTTTTTATTTTTTTGTTTTTATTTTTTGAGTTGGAGTCTCACTCTGTCACTCAGACTGGAATGCAGTGGCCGCTCCCGGCTACCGCAGCCTCGACCTGCTGGGCTCCGGTGATCCTTCCGCCTCAGCCTTCCAAGTAGCTGGAACTACAGGCGCGTGCTACCACGCCCGGCTGATTTTTTATTTATTGTAGAGATGAGGTCTCACCAAGTTGCCCAGGCAGGTCTCGAACCTGTGGGCTCAGGCAATCCACTCTCCTCAGCCTCCCAAAGCACTGGGATTACAGGCTGAGCCACCGAGCCCGGCCTAGTTGCCCACGTTTTTAAAATCAAGCAATTTTACACCTGACTTTTGTGCCTACAGCTTTTATTTACTTGAAATATTGGGCCACATTTGGTGCACATTTTCCCAGGGTAAAAATCAACTCAAGTCAAGTAGTAGTTGTCCTTTAGAAGGGGCTGTTGCTCTCCAGTTTGCCCCTGTCCCCACCAGTTCCTATTGCCCTCACACTGAGATCCAGTTTCAGTTACCATGTATCTTTCCAGTGTACATCTTCTCCTCCTGCTCCCATAGAATTTAGATGACTGTGAAATGCTTTACATGGCCTTCCTAGTCCACTTGGACATTCAAATTTGTCATTCCCTAATCTTATCTGAAGTCCTCCTTTTCAGTATTGGGTAAACTGAGGTCCAAAGGAGGAAATCAACATGCACAACTCACATAATTGTTAGTGATGGAAATGTGATTAGCACTCAGGGTTCCTCACGACTAGGCCAACAGTTTCCATTATCACTTTGATTGTATCTTAGACTTCAAGAGGTTTTCTTAATGAGAGACTCACATGTTGAACATGTTCTTATTCAAATTCACACACTATCATTGAAAACATGCAGCAAGTTGCGGTACTGCTCTGTGAATGCCTCGCATGCTTTCCAGATAATGAGTCAGGCATTGGTTTTGCTTTCTCCATGTGGGTGTCTCTACATAGGTCTATTATTTTTTCATTCAAAGCATGTCCTTTGCTGCCTCTGAGTTTGTGCCTGTCTGGTGGCTCCTGTGCCCCTGTCGATGCTGCACAGGCATGCCGTGTGTTCTGAGATCTAAGACTTCTGAATGGAAAAACCCGTGTGTCTGGGCATTCTCACAAGCTAACGTTTGTAGCAAAGCATCCACCAAAGCATGAATTAACATTCTCCAGCAAATGCTTTGAGAAGCAACTTGACTTAGATTAAGTACTGCTTGCTGGGTTTAGGGATGTGAGCTCGAGCAAGTTATATAAATTATCCAGGCCTCAGTTTCTTCATCTGTAAAATGAGGGAACTAATAGTACCTACATCACTGAGATACTTTAAACATGAAAGAGTTACCTTTTCAAATTTCTTAGCACAGTGCAACTACTTATAAATAAATAATATACATAAGTGCTACATGTAAGTAATATTCTGGTGGGTTATAGAAATAAAATCTGGAAACATTCTTCTGTTATTTGAGTGATGTGATCTTATTTAAAACACATAGATAGTCACTCCCAGGCCCAGTATAAATACCAAGATATGTTTGCTTTGACATCATAATTGCTTGGTCCATGTTTGAAAAATTCAGATTCCAGCGATTAACCACAGACCTATGGAAGCAGAGAATCTAGCTATGGAACCTAATGGTCTATTTTTTAAAACTAATTTATTTGTTTATTTATTTATTTAAAATATGTGGGGTACAAATGGTCATCAGTCTTTTTTTTTTTTTTTTTTGAGAAGGGATCAGAGTCTTACTTTGTCACCCAGGCTGAAGTGCAGTGGCATGATTACAGCTCACTGCAGGTTTGACCTTCTGGGCTCAGACTATTCTTCTGCCTCAGCCTCTTGAGTATGTGGAACTATAGGTGTGTGCCACCACACCCAGTTGATTTTTGTATTTTTTCTTGTAGCAATGAGGTGTCACTGTGTTGCTCAGGTCTGTCTTGAACTTTTGGGCGCAAGCAATCCTCCTCCCACCTCAGCCTCCCAAAGTGCTGAGATTACAGGCATGAGCCACCACACCTGCTTTGGTGGTCTATTTTGTTTTTAAAGTGTGCTATGTGATTCTGATGACTAGCCAAGTTTGGAAACAAATGATGTAGCTTTCTTATACCTAAATGTCTTTGGTGTTGGAGGGTCCATTACCTCCTAAAGCTTCCCACTCCACATTGGATAATTATTCATCCTGAGGTAAGACTTGTTTTGTTTTAGCTCCTACTTCTACACCCTTGAGGCCACACAGAACATTTCAAATCTCTCTTCCATGTGACAGCCCTTTAGACATTTGCAGACAGCTGTCATATCCCTATTGACCATTCTCTTCTTTTGGATGAAACAGTCACATGGTCTCATGGTTCTTTTAAAAAGAATGGAAGAACTGACTCTTCGAATTTTATTTCTAAAACAATTTGGGCTACAAGATCTTCTCAAGTTTTCCTTTGACAGTCAGAGGGCCAGAAAAAGAGGATATTGGGGCTCTGGAGTAAATAGAAAATACTGAATGGGAGATGGCTGTACATCTTCATTCTGGCAAAGGATGAAAATGCCTAGGATAGATGCTACCAACTACATGTGTCTCCCCATGCAGAAAGCAGAGGCTCCTGCAAATTCTCCGAACACTTGATGCATTCAGTACATTTAAATAAAATCTTGCTTGAAATGTTAGCCAGGCCTGTCTAGGAGTTGGTTATATGGATGTACATATAGCTAATGCTTTGTCATGATTTATTAAGATTTGTGCATTAGTACTTCAAAAAATGTAAAAAACAAAATAGCCAGGCCAAATGATATGGAGACTGTACCACATTTTCTCAAAAGAATGCACCTGCCCAAGGACACATCTTTAATTCATCTAGTTCCTTCTTGATTCAGTTTCTCACTTCTCCCACTAAGCCTACGGAATGTCTGGGTGGGGTTTCAATCCCTTGTACAAACTGCAGGTGTAGAACATAATGTTGGAGAAAAGAGAAACCATTAATTGAAAAATTCTTAGCAAGAGTTCAGAAATTCTAGATTTATTTTTTTCATAGATCATAATGTGGAAAGTCTGCTCTGATATTTATTTTTTGATGGATCATAAAGGTGTTTAATTTGATGCTTAATTGTGCATTCCCAGGTTTAGTTCCAAGAGGCAGAAGAAATGGAAATGGCTAAAGTATGGTAACATATGTGCCATTTTCGGCTTGGAAGAGCCTCAGTTTTTTAAAAATGCCATCTTTAGGACCATGTAGGTACCACAACACCCATCAAATTATAGCTGTACCAAAGATAATTCAATTCTTGATTGTCAATATAGGAAAGGGAATTATGGGATTTCCCCAAGGTGAATGACTTCACTATACTTGACCACAAATGTTCATAAATATTAGACTTTTGTCAATGCTTAGAAAGACTTATTCAAGAATTTCTGTCAGTACATTGGAAACAGTATAAGCATTAAATAGTGCTAATTCAAGACCATCTAAACAAAATTTATTGTTTACCCAGATTTATAAACTGAAAGTTGGAAAGGGTCAATGTCTTAACAAGGTCATACAGATGTTTGCAGCATTATCCAGGTCTTCTGACTTTACTTGATCCTTGTTGCATTTAAAGTAGTCCTTTTCTACCTGGGCTTCCCACCAGTTGCAAATCTGTGTTAGACATAGAATCAATTATAGTAGCACTGCCATCAGGAGAGCAGTTGTTCAAAGTGTCAGGACACGGGAAGAAGGCCAAAGAATGATGCAATATTACACTAGCAAGTGATGTCATAGCATGATTTCTTAAGTGATTTACATAAATGCAAGTTCTCAAGAAGCCTTGTCAAGTGCCAACCAGTGGGAATGCAGGTGTGGAGAGCCAATGGCAAGCAGGGGATGGGAACATATAGGAAACCCAGATTTCCTTGCCCATCACTGTGACAAGCTTCACAGAGTCCTCAGAAGCCTAAGAAAACTCCCTACTGCCCCTCTAATCCAATGACTTCCCTCAGGAATACAGGCTCCAAAAGGCTTTGATTTTTTTCCCTTTGCTTTCTGTTTATTCCCAATGACATTCAAGCATTGCCCAGTGATGCTGAGAGTGACTTCTCATGTGATGGAAGCAAGTGTAATAGTGAGATAGGCTACTCAAGGGCTTTACATTCTAAAATTGTTCTGTCTTCATCATTATAATTTAGAATGAATCTTCTAATTTGAGAATTAGAAGTGATAAGCTGCAATTCTTGGAGAATAAATCGTATGTAAATGTCATGGGAATATCTTTGTAGGATTTGGGGATGATTTAAGAATGAAGACAGGTGGATACCAAATGCCAAGTCTTCAGTTTTGTTTTGCTCCAAAATAGTTAAACATGTATTATTAAGGAAGTTTTCTTAAAATGTGTGCATGGGGATGTGGGTGGGAGTGGGGAGGGTAACATATGCTACCCCGGTAATGGTTGGAAATGGAAGTTCATGACAATATCTAGTTAGATCAAACTAAAAAGAAACTGATAAGACTATGTTGAGAAACAAGGAAATAGCTCAGAATGTGCCAGGCCAGGTCAGGCCGGTCTCTCTCTCTCTCTCTCCCCCCATCCCTCTCTCTTCCTGACTTCCTTCCTTCTATCCTCTCTTCCTCCTTTCTTCCCTCTTCCATTCCCTCCCCTCAGAATGCAATTTAAGCAGAGTTAAAGACCTCATCTCAAGCCAGAGATCCAAGCGGTTCACAGTATGCCTACAGATTTTGGATTTAAAGACTTTTCTCAACTGCAGACGTTGCCTAGAGTGCCACAAAATCTCATCTCATGAATCTTATACTAAAACCAATCAACAAGACCCAACCCCTTTAACCCACACAGTGTCACAGTCTGGACACCTGCACATTCTCAGCAATAATTTGAACTACCCTTCTTTCCTCATCACTACCTCCATCTCCCCCAAACATCCACCAGAATATCAGAAACTGGATTATTCACAGCCATTGAGAGGAATTTGTAAATACCTTCTAGGCAGCAGGTCCTCCACAGCCCCGAATGGGTCATTACTTCTTCATTCTTCCTGCTGGTTTCATTATCACTTGTAGATTTAGTCCTGCACACACCTCTGGAATATAACCAGTAGTCCGTGCCCACTGCAATGGTCATTAAACTAAAAGCTGCGAAGGCTCCCACAGTGGTGATCAACATCTGGATACCTCTGTCACACATCCTCATAATTCTTCATGGTACTCTGGACGGCTGGGGGTTGGAGGGGGAGAGTCAGTGCCGGAGGGGAAAATCACTCTGCAGCTGGGTAACCTAGCACAGGCTCTTCCAAAAATTCAGGTCTCCTTTTGTCAGCATCCACGGGGACTTTGGGAAAACTGGGATTTCCTGTCTGGAGCTCTCTCCAGTTCCCTGGGTCGCCTATGGCCCTCGGAAGGGTGCAGGCTCCAGGGGGTTGGTCCACATCACTGCTGCCTTCTGAGGGTCCCTGGGTTCCTTTCATTCCTCAGGAGCTTGGAAAGAACGAGGGTCCGTGCAGGGCATGGCTCCGGAGCCTGGAGCTGCCAGCTCGGTTTGAGATGCGCCTGGCTCCTCACAGCCCCGGGAGACTCAAGGCAAGGAAACCCAGTGAGGTCTGTGTGTGTGTGTGTGTGTGTGTGTGTGTGTGTGTGTGTGTGTGTGTGTCTGTGTGCGTGCGTGCGTGTGTGTGCGAGCGCGTGTGCTGGGGGTGAGGGCGGATGGCAAAAAATAGCACTGCTGGGAGGCGAGTCGCTGAGAAGAGTGTTCACTGCTTCCCCAGCCTCCCAGGAAAGCTCTCCGCCTGCTCCCGACACCCCCGCTCAAACTGGAGAAAAGACAGAGTCCTGGGGCGGGGTCCGGGTGGTTTCATCGGGGGCCAAAGGTCCGTGGTGCTGAAGGGACAGCTCCCTCGACCGCCGCCCCGCCTCCGCCGCCCTATCGCCCGGGTTCTAAGGTTCGTGGTGCTGAAGGGGCAGCTCCCCAAACGTCGCCCCGCCTCCGCTCTCCTAACGCCCAGGCGCTAGGGGCCGTGGTGCTGAAGGGACAGCTCTCCCCTGCGGCTGCACCCACGTCGTTCTAGCGCCCGGGCTAGAGACCTGGGGTGCCAAAGGATCTTTCCACACCCCACCCTTCCTCTCTCCCTCCCCAGGTCAGCCAGCCGGCTTGCCTCTGCCCAGTCAAGCCCACTCTCCGCGCAAAGTTTCGGGAACCCAGGGCAGCCAGCGCCACGGCTCCTTGGCGCTGCAGCACGACACTGGTCCTCCGCTCCGGGAAGGGTTAAGGAGAGGGGACAGGGATAGAAGCCTGTAGCGCACTCTGACACTCTCTTAGCGCCCACCCAACGCGGCATTCTTCAATCCACCTCTCACCCCATGAACCACGCAAGTTTGCCTTTTGCTACGGGCGCCGCTGGAGCCCACTGGGGAGAGAGAAGACCCGAAAGACCGAGTCTTCTTAAAGGCACCGATAGCTCCGGCGACGGCTCCACGGTTCACTTAGGCGGGCAAAAAGTGTTGTCACAGGCACATCTGTGTATAGTCTGTCTCAATTTTGTTCCCCAGAAAACAAACCAATATGTCTACCCTCCTTTCTCTGGAGCTCTGGTTTACACCGGAGACAACCTGCTCAGATCAGACCCGGAACTGTTCATATACATATGATCACGAATTCCTTAAAAATGGAAAAAACCGAATGTATATAGACTTTGTCATACACACATCAGGGACCTTGGGCGAAAGAGTGTAGGCTTTTGGTCTTTGAATACACATCTTATATATTTTACCACCTCTACATTTGAGGGGGTGATGGATTCAAGGTGGGAGAGTCGTTGAAAATGTCAGATTTCTTTTTCCCCAAAGGCCCCTGGGATGTTCATTTGTTAACATTCGTGTCTAAGTCAAACCATGAGGCAGGAGAACTTAGGTCTGCTTTTCTTAGTCCAAAGAGCAAATGACACTGCACACCTGAAACCTCTCTTCCTTAGAAATAGCTAATGTCACAAAGGCACGGCATTTAACCAGCTTTTTATTACTATGTATTCTAGCATATTCATGAGCACACACTGAGTTGACTAAGGACAGCCCACAGAATTGTCTTTATTATTATTTTTTCCTTGTGTCATAATGGAACTGCTATTTAAAGGTTGGGTGTTTTAAAATGAGGCTGCTTAGGTTGTTTCTGCAGTCCGTGAGATGTGTCCAAAACCAACTGTCATGTTTGAATGTTATTTAGCTGGACAGAAACATAATGGGAGGTAATCACAGCCACACATGGTGCCATGTCGAGCTTCTATTCCGATGACTGAGTAGCAGCAATGGAATGAAGAGTTCTCAGAGAGAGCTCACAACTTGTTGGTGACTTTCCTAATGTTAGGGTCATTTGAAGACTATGTTCTTGGAGCCATATATACACGCATGCGCATGCATAAGTTTGAATGCATAGTTGGGGGTGATTGTGTTTGGGTGTTTACCTGTGCTATGTTCAACTTCCTTGAATATGAATATGTAGATGTGTCTACCTATGTGTATTTAGTTGCATAGGCATATGTCATGGTTCACAAACACTTTGTGGACAGGAAATAGAAATACTGAAAATTTGCCACATAGCCAATGAGATGGGTAAACTTGGGGCCAGGTGCATATGTAGCAATACTCCAGGGGAAGGACAGAAGATAATACTGATAGGTGTACAATGCCTTCTACAAGTTACTTAGTGCTATTTTTTTTGTCTTAAAAAAGAAAATTTGCACTGTAATAAAATGTACTGCCTTGATTATTATGTTTTCTTTTAAGGAAAAAGCTATGTGTAACATGGAGGTAAGGTTGACCTTCCCTGGAAGGGCTTTTTTTGGTCATATTTATTTTAGATTCAGGGGGTACACATGCATGTTGTTATATGAACACATTGAGTCATGAGGATTGGGTCTCAGGTGGTCTAGTCCCCAGATAGTGACCCTTGTACCCCTGAGGTAATTTCTGAATGGGAAGGGTTATTTAATTAGTGAAAATTTCCCTCTTCAGTCTTGGAAACTTAAGTAATATGAAATAATTAATAATGCTCAAAGCAGTCAATTTAAGATCGATTTGATTTGTCCCTTATTCCAATAGAGGCAAGAAAGGTCTTCTCTCAAAGAAGAACCCTACTGATGGGAAGTCAATGGGGCTTTGGGGAGTATGTCCCGTTCACTCCATCCACTGGCCCACAGTGAGACAAGAGCAGTTTCATCCTCATGCTCTCAGCTCTGTAATATAAGCCCAGACAGGCAGGGCATGGCTGCCAGGAGACCCACAGAAGGAACCAGACATTCAGGTAGGATCATGAAGAAAAGGGTCAGGAGCTCAGGTAGATGAAGGAAACAATTATGGGTCAGGATGTGGATACTTTTTCTGAAGAAGAAAAAGGAACACACGTTGTAAGGATGGAGCTTTATACTGAGCCTTTGATTTGGTGAGGCAGGATCTTCCTTTGTAGTTCCTGTGCAGGGCCAAACTGATCACAGCCCTGAACCTGCCTGCGGAGCAAGTCAGAACACCTGACTGGAGTGGGAGTGTGGAAGCAGGGAGGCCGTCAGTTAGTTCCTGATCATGCCTCTCCACTTACTAGGGCGGTGACCTCATCCTTTCATTCAACTGAATGTGTAGGTGTGTGGACATGGGTGCGTAGAAACGGCTTCTAAGGCTGAATGTAATTGCGCATTTTCACCATTAGAGGGCTCTTTCAACAGATCCGTCAGGGACCCAAGCGATTCAGAGCACTCTCCCTGCAGTGATGGAACCGGACTCTTCCTGTGTTTGCTGTCGACCCTCTCTGATCCTACTTACCTGGCAGGAAACTGCGAGACATTCAGACATCTTGCAACTGAAGTCTGATTCTCTTAAGACTTTTTTCTCCCATTGGACTGTGAGCTAGTGGAGTAGCTGGCACAGCGTAGCTTTTTCCGATTCACCCTCTCATACCCTCTCATAGGGACATTACTTTCACCCCTAGAGGGGCTGCTGTTCCCTGAAAATGGTTGTGTCATTTAGGAAGGGGTATTGTCAGCTGATTCAATTCAATAACTGCTTCTTGAGTGCCTACTATGTGTAAGGCATTCTGCTCAGCACTTTAGAGAATGCAAAGATATGATCATAATCCCCAAGGAGCAGATTATGAAGTAGGAGGTATTTTATTAGTGAGTTCATTTTAGCTGAAAACTGCAAACACTTGCTGAAGCTAGCTTAAGGAAATGGGGGATCTGGTATAAGAATAACAATTTTTCAAGGAACCGTAGGGCAAAGATACAATCAGGCCTTGGCAGGGAGCTGGAACCAGTAAATAAAAGCCATCAAGAGCCTTGATAGCCATTCCATTTTTCATCTCTCCCTCTTTCATATTTTTAGTTGAAAAAAATTATTTTGCTTTCTCTATTCTTTGATCCTCAAGATGGAAGCTAAATTTTGAGTTTTTATGTCATCTCTATTTAAGAAACCCACTCAGGCTAAACTGGGCAGTTTTAGTCCCAATTCAACATTTCCAGGAGAGACAACATGATTGGCCTAGCTTGTGACATGTGCCACTTCCTGGACCAAGCAGCTGTGGTCAAAGAGACAGGGTCATAACCATCTGAACCAGCCCCTGTGAGTTGGAAAAGGGAGCACAGTTCTTAGAAAAGGGGGAATTTCTGTGATAACTCGGAAGACCTCACTATGAAAAGCCCATGTGACCCACTTTGGACATCACTCCAGTGATGCCCACAGGATCATCAGTAAAACAAGAGAATGAATGAGAAGACAGCATGGCAAGATTTGGGCTCGGAAGATCTTGGAGCCCTTCTTTTGAACTAGAGTTCCACTTTGTTGCCCAGGTTGGAGTGCAGTGGCATGATCAGGGCTCACCACAGACTTGACCTCCTGGGCTCAGGTTCAGCCTTCCAGGTAGCTAGGACTACAGGTGCATGCCACCACACCAGGCTTATTTATTTATTTATTTAGGATATTTTGGTAAAGACGAGGTCTCACTATTGCCTAGGCTGCTGTCAAACTCCTGCCTCAAGCAGTCCTCCTGCCTTGACGTCTCAAAATGCTGATTAAAATGAGAGACACCGGCCCACCTTCTCGGATCCTTCTGCTAGAAGAACTCAGGGTGTCAGTGGTACTAACTCAGCTTCACCTTCTGTGTGTACGCTTCTTCCAAAGGAAGAGAATGGGGTATAAGTTAAAAGAGAAAAAAATCTTCTGAGGTAAGGGGTGTAAGTTAAGGATTTGGTGAAACCCAGGCACACATGGATTGAATAGTGCCATCCTTGACGTCTTGAAAACCAAATATGCTTCTAAGCATTCACGCATCCTTATCTAAATGTCAGCCTTACCACCTTCTTTTGGTATCCACAGTCCCCTGTGCTTTCTTTTGCACCCAGGTACTTGCAAATTATGTTTCTACTGTCTAGAACAGTCATAGAAGATGGATGGTGGGAGGAAGAGAAGAATGGTAGGATGGAACATCCTGATGTTACCAAGACAGCAGCCAAGATATACTGTCTAGAGTTGAAGGAAAGAGATCCAAAGTATCTATACAAGCACGTCCAACCCACAGCCCTTGGGCCACATGCAGCC